GCTGGTGGAAAGGGGAGGGGGGAAGGGGGGAGGACACACAGCGGTCCCCAGACAATTTTAAGAGATGTCAGTGAAATGGCTTTTGAATTTGTGGTTACTGGAGTGCATCATTGATAACACAGACATAAAATCAAAGAACAAAAACACAAAAAACACACCAAACAATCGACAAAGAAAAAAAGACAAAACAAAAAACAAGCAAACAAATAAAAGGTCACCAATATTTTTTTTAAAAACCCCTCCTCAGTACCTCAGAGGCTCCACCAAGAATGGTACGATTTAACAAAAGTTTGCAGATTTCCTGAGAGGAGGAACAGTTTGCGTTTTATAATATCCCGTCCAGTTTTAAAACAGCACTGCAGCAGGCTGACAAAACGCATTTTTTCATTGTTGGAACCAGTTTGTTTGTGGTTTTTTTTGCTATATCGATAGCGTGATCTTGTGTAAAAAAAAAAAAATCAAGTAAAACTGACTGTTTTTTCTTTTTAATAAAGTCGAATTCAAAGTTTGGGAAGAACGCAATTTTAAAATGGTTACGCGACAAAAAGCATCTTAATATGAACAAATTTTAGGAATTAGAAAAACACGTTTTGCCAGCTTACGGCAGATACGCATACCATGATTTAACCCAAATTCCTTTTGGAGACAGAAAGAAAGAGGATCAGTTGTTTTCTTTTGTCTTTTAGAAGAAGTGTTGCTGTTTTGTTTGGGATTTTTTTGGAGTAAACTTGACTAACATGGACACGATCGTGGGGGACGTTGACAAAGATGGCCCAAAACAGACAGAGCTGGAGATCCTTTGTTGCTACCCTAAACGCCAGATGGCATAATGGGTTGTCAATAAGTGAGTAAGTAAGGACACGATAGCAATCAATTGGTTCTTGGAGAAAGAGGTAAAAGACAGATAGAAAAAAACAAAGAAAAGATCGTAGAGAAGTGGAACACACCTGCTGAATTTTGCCCCCAAAATCGCTTTATCTTTCCTTTACTGTTGGGTATTAAATAACCGTATGCGATATGTTAAAGACGAACCACCGATGACGAATAGTCCTTAGGGGGCTATTGGCCGAAACGACGAATAAAGAACTATAATATTTCACAAGGTCCTGTTTAACACCATAGCCGTGGACGCAAAAGAGAGAATGACGTATTATCTACTCTGACCACAAAGGAACTAAGCTAAGAGACAAACAGGGTCAAGCCAGAAGGGAAGGTAGATCCAGGAAATGAAGAGAGGACAGACCAAAGAGATAGATAGGCAACTAGAGCGAGGGAGAGAGAGAGAGAGAGAGGGAGAGAGAGACAAACAGACAGAAAGAGAGAGAAAAGAGAGAGAGATAGCGAGAGAAAGAGAGAGAGAGAGAGAGAGAGAAAGAGAGAAAGAGATAGAGATAGCGAGAGATATAGAGTGAAAGCGAGAGAAAGAGTGTGAAAGCGAGAGAAAGAGAGAGTGAATGAGAGAGCTAGAGAGAGTGAGAGAGACACAGAGATTAGTGGTGGTAGATAATTGTTAGAGTTTGGCAACAAGGTACCCGACGGATAAATAATTGCTGTCATTCCTCCAGTTTTCCTGACCTATTTACATAACTTACTTCCATATAAAGTCAATATTTTATCCGGGATGTCAGGTTCTACAATAACTGGGTCCTTAGTGTAGCAGTACCTGTTTATCTCTTTTCTTTATCTGCCTCGCTCAGTTTCTCGGTCTGTTTTTGTCTCGTTCTCTCCGTTTCTCTCTGTTTCTCTCTGTCTCTCTCTCTCTC